ATTTCTTAATTAAATAAGTTAGGCATGTGGCAGCAAAAGACTTCTGTTAGCATGAGTCAGTCTGCTATTTATAAGAGTTTCCATGTGACCCTGCTGCAACCCTTCTGATTACATAACGCTCGAGGTGCTGCTCACCCCTCCCTCCACCATTTACAAGAAACGGCAGCAGATTTTTTTAAACAGGGGAAAATTCTCCACCCGATGGGACTTTTGTGAAAGTAAACAAGCTTGTTGCAGATTTGCAGATTGCAACCAACTGAATACCAGTCAGTATTCAGTTGTTTGCAATCTTATTCAGCCTTCCACGCATGTAGCAAAAACTTGCAGAAAGCTCAAAAGGCTCTTATTTAGAGCCCGTGTTTGGTTTGTCCGTTCTGGGCTACTGTACAACAACAGGGGTTCAAGATTGCACAACAAGAAAACACAACAAAACATCCATATCTGTTAGTATATTCTCCTAAATGGTACACATGGACTTTTAAAATGCTAAAACATGCAAAACCTTTAAGACCTGAAAGGTGTTGTCAGAAATGTCAGTGTTATCTTATTCACCATACAGGCTCCACATACTATATCCATAAGTACATCCTTATCACTCACTTGGAGATGAGCTGGACTGAAGCCCAGAGCTACTGCAGAGTGGAGTACGGTGACCTGGCCACCGTGTTTGATAAGCAGGACATCAGCAGGATGAACGACATGGCCAGTGACTTGGACAGGCCCTTCTGGATTGGTCTGTACGCAGTAGTAGGGGACGACTACAGGAAGTGGCAGGAAGATAAGCCAGACAACATGGGAACAGACGAGCACTGCGTCCCCATGACGCAAAATGGCTTTTGGAGGGACAACAGCTGCACTGTTGTCAAAATGTCTCTCATCTGTTTCAGTGGTGAGCTCCATCTGACAATGTAAAAGTGTTGCTATCCTTAAAAATACTTTATACTGCCATTTATTTCCTGTTTCCTAACATTGTTTTCCTTCAACCATGATCACAACCTTCCCCTATATTCGCACAATGTCTGCAAAATGGAAGAAGAACATGATACCCCTTATTTTATGCATTATTCTGAGGTGGTTAGCCCTAATGCTTGTAGTCACACCAACAGTATCGATTATATGAGGTAGGGCTGTGCCGTATCATATCATTCACATAATATTGGTATCATTTTTAATATAATTTGAACATTGTGATAAGGAAAATATTCTGACTTGTTGACGTAATGATATCATAGCGTTAAGCACAGCAACAACAAGCGTGGCTGAACACAACGCTACTGGTTCCACGGTGGAGGTGTGAGGGAAGTCCGCAGGTTGGAGGTGGTTTGGTTACAAGGATAAGATGTACAACAAACCACAGTAATATGTTAGACGTGCAAGAAGACTGTAACAACCAAAGGGGGCAGTACAACAACCTTATTCCACCACCTCAAGTAGAAACACCCAATGGGAGGCAGCAATCCGGCGAGGAGAGCTCATTAGTATTTTTTTGTATTTTGTCATATTGTCAAGAATATCATTATCACAGAAATACATTGAAATATTATTATTATTATTATTATTATTATTATTATTTTAGGGCCCCTAATATCAGTGTTAATAGTAGATTTTATTTTGATTGGCATTTTATTTTTTACAAAAACATACTTGTGTCATACTATAGCTACTCACCAATCTGCTGCTCTGATCTTCTGGTTTAACAGATACATTTTATTTTATTATAATATCTATTTTATTTTCATATTATACTGTCAGTGTAACTTGACATTTCCTGCTGATTGTTTACATTAAAAGCCTCTCAGGAAAGGGAGGACATGTGCCAACAGCATGTGCTTGTTGCCAAAACAATCAACCAAAAATATTTAATTTAAAAATAAGTCAAATTTACATCCAGAGGAATTAAATTCTTTATTTTTCATTTCAAAACATGAGGATAAGCCTGAATGACCAACAGAAATGACACCCTGTACAGATAAAATGTATAAAATAAGTGTGTGCAGGTTTTGGCATTTACCTTGAACATATGATTTTTAATATTTCTCCTCTTTTTTTCAACACTTAGATGATGAAGATGATCAATATGTGCTGGTAACCGAGCAGAAGAGTTGGTTTGAGGCCCAGAGCTACTGCAGGCAGCACCACACAGACCTGGTCAGTGTGAGGAGTCTGGCTGAGAACCAGGAGGTGAGCAGCAGACTGCAGACCGGGCAGGAGGCCAGGATCGGCATGCACAGAGACTCCTGGGAGTGGTCGGACGGCAGCAGCTCCTTGTTCAGAAAGTGGATGAAGGACCAACCTGACAATGAAAACAGCACTCAGGAGTGTGCTCGTATGCAGAAAGGGGGATGAAACGACTCGAAATGTGCCAACAAATTCAACATTCTGTGCCAAGGTAAGCCCAAATGCTGCACTCATGTTCCTTTATATTATTCTTTAATATTTATATTTAGTCTGAAATGTCCAAGAGTCCAAGGCGATGTCCTCAAATGTATTTTGTTCAACCAAAAGTAAAAAAGAAGATGAAACCAGAGAGTGGTTGGCATTTTTTCCACCATTTTTGCTTGAAAAATATTGATTATTAAGGTTTTTATTTTTCCGTGAATCGTCTCATTGAATAACTGGACTGATCATTTCACCACTAATTTATATTCTTCTTTCTTTTTTATCAATGCAAAGCTAAATGTGACAAAGATCAACTACATTTCACTAACTAACTCTAACTTTCCTTTTTCTAGCAGAAATAACTGAAGTGACTCCAGTCCCAGGTATACTGTATGATCCCTACTGAAACCTGAGTTAACAGGGTTCCTTTACGCCCACGCAGTCACGTAGAAGAAGAATACAAAGCATTAAAAGTATTCATTCAGCAGGCGGAGAGAGCCTTCTCATTGTTATATGATTATAAACTGGATTATTACTGATGCATTAATATATAAACTACATTAAGTATCTTATAAGCTCACCATATTTTTTGTATGTAAAATATGAATCAAGTAACAACACTTCTCAAATGTAGTGCAGTATGTACGTACTATGAAATGTAAGTAGAAGTGTAAAGTGACATAACAAAGACAAATACAGGTACCTTAAAACTGTACTAGTAAATGTAATTACTTACATTCCACTAATGCAGTGCAAACGATTTAATGCACAAAGTAATATTTTAAAGGATAGAAAGTCCCTTAAACAAATGGTTTCATGCGGAGAAAGGATATATAGATATATACTGATCTACACACCCTATAATAAGACTTTCAAATCTTCTGCAGGATGAAACCTAGTGGTTTATAATATATAGATTTTAGTTATTTTCAACTGTGCAGCAGCAGATATATATATATATATATATATATATATATTAAAAAAAAATTATGTGAATCTGTACTCTTGGTTTACAAATCTGTGCACACAGTTCATAAACTGTGCTCTCTGAGTCATAATCCATGCCCACGTGTTCGGGAACCGGACCCACGAGCACACTGGGCCGGTAGCCAGCAGCAGTAGGCCTGTATGGCTTTTGGCCAGAGGATGACGCTATAAACTAAGAAAACAGCTGTTTATCATCATTTATCTACTACCCACATGCATTTTATATCTATATTTTTACATCCTAACGGTTCATTTGAAATACTTTACTATTCCACTTCCTCTACATCACATGAAAACAATATACTAATGATACCACACATGGTATAATGCTAAAAACCACAAGTAAAATCAGTTCGGCATCATATTATACCATGTGTGGTATCATTTGTATAATGTTTACACATGATGTAGAGGAAGCGGCAGCAGAGGTGAATTGTTGTGAAATGCTAGAGGAGGAATAAACACAGGAAGATAACTTTACTGACACATGCTTACTGACATATAAAATGTGAGTAGAAGTGTAACAGCACAACACATCACACATCAATCCTAGTGATCTCATTGGCTGTTATCACTGTCCATCATACCGTACCTGCATTACATGTTTGCCTATATGTAACAATACAAAGCTTCATTTTCACAATTGAGAGCATATTAGTCATATATACCAACAATAAGTCTTTTAAATAATTTTAATTAATTAAAATATGGATATAACTTATTGCCTAGCCAACCTTTCACTGCTGGCTACCCGCCCATTGTGCACAGTTTACAAATCTATGGGAGTTGATTATGAATCCGACATGGCCACAGATTTACACATGGCTCCACCCCGGGGAGGATCATAACTAATAAGCTATCAGGTTTGCTGTTGAAAAACGTTTTAATAAGCCACCTATTCTCTAGATACAGATGTTAATAAAGTTTCTAGGGTTAATGTTTCTCCATTTTAAGCCATCTGCAATTTAAAAAAGGATCAATATAATAACCATATAATCTCTGTGCATTTTATGTAGCACGGTTTCACAACTGCACAAACTCAGCTCTGATTTATCATTTTAACAATTCACACTATATAAACCTGCCAGGAACCCACCATACAAGGAAAAATTGCACTGGCCTTTATTAGAAATCTACAAATATTTAATGATAATCACTCAAAATATTACTCTAGGACAGAACAAGACACAACAAATTTTTTCACTATTTATACACATACATACAGCAGATATAAACTATAATAGAGTATATTTACATATATGTATGCCTGTAAATCATTGTTGAAATATTATATTATTAATATAAAGTTTTAAATTATGAAATGATGACTGTGTGAAAGCCCCACATCAACACTTCTACATGTTTTTCTCAGCTCTACATGATACATAAAGTTATGTTAGTATAATCATAAAATAAAACATGCTCAGTGCATTCACAGATTTTTAATAAGTTGATGATAAAGGTGGTCTAGAGGCCCTGCAGACCTTTGTTCAAACAGGAAGTTGTCCAACAGTTCACTGTCCAACACATAATCTACCGTGATCTATTAAGCATGAGTAAATGTTTTTTTAACTATTAATTAAAGCCTTGTTGGTTTCCTTTA